ATATTATTTTTAGTGCAGTAATATTTTCCAATTAAAAAATTGTATTCATCAGAAAATGTAAGTTTTCATTTTTAATATTTTTGATGGCCATGAATAATAACAAGTACCTATATAGAAATAATTATAAAATAGTAATTTTAATAACATGAAACCCACATTGAACATTGAATAGTGTACCWATATATCATTATTAAATGACAAATAAACAATATTATGAGATTATTATGGTTATTATGGTAATTATATTATGTCAATTTATCGATATATTATYATGAGCATGATTGGATATTTCTAGCCGAGTATCTAGCAATTGAATTATTGAATAAGTTAAGTTGTAAGGAATGATTGGTTGAACATAATTTACTAAGAGTATGAAACATAAAAATCATAATTTCAACAATGTACCTATCTATTATAATTTATAATGCTTGGTAACATATTTTCTTACTATTAAAAAAAAAAATAAAATATTAATAGATATATCAATACGCTCTTGCTATTTAAATTATAATCAATGGAAAATTTTAAATACTTGAGTTCTAAGTTATTAATAAAAATATAGGTGTGATGGTATACACCGAAGTATATACCTATGTAGTATATATAAAAGATACTGATGCTAGTGTAATAATAAGCCGATTATGACAGAAATAAAACAATGTACYGAAAACAGTAATAAAATAATAGATTTCAGGGTTATGTAGCTATATGAGGTATTATAGTAGTATATACTCACTTGTATTATGTATGCACACTAAGACGAAWAACGATGACTGGACAAAAATATGAATATTATTGTGTTTTCACTTTAAAGTTAATATATAGCAACTAGAAATAATACATGGTCGGTGAGGTGTTCAAAAGTAACAGTGGAGGTTAAACCAATGTTCGCACAAAACTGTGAGAATATACAATAAATGAAGGAGATGTGAGATGTTCCAATCGTCAAAGTTTCGATACTATTACGATGATGTGGAATCCTCAAGTAAGATTTACGAATGATGTCGGAAAATCGTAGAATGTTACCTACCAAAGAAATAATAATATTGTTGAAAAATATAGCTCGACTGGTATCACGGATCGACTCGGTGATAATGATTTTCAAACAAACGTACTGTACAGTCTTTGGTACGGTGTACACTATCAATTACACGCGACGCACGCACGCACGCACACACAGGAGAGGGGTTGATGAATAATAATAATTTATTGTAATAGGTAATATTATATYATAATAAATAATAATATAATGTCATACGACGTCATTCATGGCTCCGGAGTGGTGGTAGCTTGCGTTTAGGTATAATAATAATATTATTGTTAAACAAAAATTATTSTACCGACACGAAATATAGCTAGGTAGGTACATATTAATATAGCAAATGTATAAGCTATTATAAATTATAATTGCCGTCGATTGTGTCGAGGTCCAGTGAAATAGTAAAGGTAAAATTAATAATAATAATAATAATAATAATCAATTATTATTGTCACAGTGCGTGGTGGAATAAATTATTATTATAATTATTTTATATTTTATTATTATTTTTATATCTATGATACTAGTAATCGCAGAGAGACGTGACCTCGTGACCGACGATGAATATATTATTATTATAATCATCAATATTTGATAGTGAATGATGATATTAACTATATTATGGAATAGGTAATTAATAATCGGACACTGGACAGTAGCTATTGTCTGCGATTGACGATTATAGACTTCTTAGTTCTTATACCTATTTTATAAACACTATAATACACATCTACAGATACCTATCCAATTTCGAAATATGTGATGAAGGAGAGGTGCCAGAAATTTATAAATTATAAAAACCTATACTTATGTCTTATAGTAATAGGTACTTGCGTCTTATTTAGGCATTTAGCTAGCAGGGAGAGGGTCAAAAAATATTTATAAATATTTTACTTACCGCCACATGACTGTTGTGTATAGTTGCAGAGTAGATATGAGTACCTATATGACAATATAATATATATTGTTATAATATTTAATATACTGTTTTCTATGAGTTCGTTTTGTCGGCCCAGAATATTATTGACATGCGTGTATACACTGCAGACAGCAATATTAAACCTATTAAATCGACGACAGTAACAATAATATTGTACGTATATTAGTTATATTAAGACAAAAACCGCACGTGACTATAATATTATTTAATATATTATATTCTTCCGAGCTAGGTCACCGTATACATACGTAATATGTATACATATTATTTGCTGTTAAATTATTTTTTATTTTATCTTTGCATTAAATATGCGGATATGGTATTTTATATAGATATAATAGAGACCCTCGATCACTATACCTACTACCTATACTTGCGGCGAATAATATTAAAATGTATTATAGGAATAGATGCTTAGTGACTATTGTTGCCTTGTTATAAGTATTTAATTTCAGAATTTTTTAATATTTAATAACACKGTCAGACTAGTTACCTACATAGTTGTATTGTTATAAATTATTAAATTAGTAAACGAACTACGAAGCATCATGATACCTGTCTGTCGGTCGGCGTGGTGGTGCAGATAAGTCAAGTGATTCAATATTAAGTGTATAATTATTTATTATTGTTATTACAATTATTGTTACTGTCATGCGACTTCAATATTATGCGGTTGCGATTATTACTGATATATATATTAAAATATAAAAATATAATATTGTACCGGATCGTAGGTAGAGAATAGGTACTATACTGATGACTACGGCGATGACCGCCCGTCGCCGGTTCGATCGATTTCCTCGACGACATGACCGCGGCCTTCGACAATATATAGTGCAGGCGTGGATCATATACTGTTGGTACTAAACACGAGTCATAGAGAGCACTGCCCTAATAATAAAGCACGGACAACAGAGTGTTAATACTTAAGTTTGTTTTCATACAAAAGCAAAAGCATAAGCGGAGAATTTTTTATATTACATATTATTATAATATTGACAATATTATATTGTGTAAGTACTTGTCTAAAATCTGTATGACTGACGACTGTATAGTGAATTCTAGTGTAAAATGTATTTATTTATAAATTTTTTTTTTTGCTTGAATTTTTGAATGATATTCATGCCTCCTATTCAAGGACCAATCGTATTTTCACATAGGTATTGTATAATATATAAAATATGAATTACACACCACTGGTAACGGGAGTAACTGGATTTATCCATCACCACGATGATTGGATTGAGAAACGTAAATTGACGTCTGGCAATATATCTGGGCACCTAGCTAGGTTGACAATAACTACCTATCTTATATAATATTATGACATTATGTTTGCGTGTCCATAGATTCTGTAGGTCAAAATATAATATACCCAGTGCCAAATTATCGTGTGACAATAACTTTTTACATGYCTATTATTTAAGTCAGTTGTAACGTGGTCGGGGGAACGACCAGTTAATATATGATATCCAGTGAGAGTCGTAGGACTCWATAGATATAATTACCGTAGCCAGGGGTAGATATATATAAATAACAGGATCTTAAATATATTTAAATAACTAGGTTTCCGTTTCAGTTAACATTAAGTTTTATTATAGATTAAACACCTACAAATAATAATACTCACAAGCTATATAAATTATATTCTATCCAACTATTTGATTTGACTGCATCGTAGTTTATACGGAGTTCGATATTTATTGAGTGTTGAGGTCTGAGGTTTACACAGTGAACTAACTTACTTCATACATGGTGTGTATTGACCATAGGCCTTACAATYATGAGTGTGTGTTAATATTATTGTATTGGTCAGCAGTTAATYGTACATAATATTAAGTGTGTAGACGTGTAGTACATATATATATACTCAGGTATCATGTAACATATTATAATTGTTACACAGTGGTTCCCTAACTGTGCACTGTCCGCAAGCACATTCTTAAGACACCAAGGTGGCGAGGTCTATAAGTAAATAATAGTGTATGGTTTTTTTCAAAAAGTTGTCATTAACAAGTGTTTTTTCGTTCTGTTTTTTATGATATTCACAGCAGAGAATTGTGGCTATATTTGGTTTAAAAAAGAGCACCATGAAAAACAAAATATTGGAACCACTGATTTAAGGACACACACCAATAGTAATCGGTATAAATATTATATACCTAGCCGCTTTAATATTATATTTGCGAATTTAAGATATTTTATGTAATCAATTGATTTTTAGAACGAAACACGTTTTTATTAACCAAAAAATATTTGAGCAACTATTTACCATTTAATAACAAAATACTAGCAGTGGGTCGGCTAAAAATGTTGACCCCGAGATATTAGGTAGGTACCATATAATTGCATGATATATTCATTTTTTTTTTTTTTATTAAAGAAATAACCCTTTGGCAACTTGCCCATTGGGATAAACGGTATAACACGATTGCGTACGGTCTTTATCGACATACGCAATCSTGAACATTTAATGTTCACGATTGCGTACGATTTTTATCTGCAGCTTTGAAGCAATGTTACCATTTGCTTTGAACTTATAGAACAGGGGTTACTTCCATAATTTTTTTTTATTATTATTAATCAATACTAATTATTAAGAATCATAATATAGAGCGCGTGGCCCGAAAATAAATTCTAATATGATTGATTTTGAAATTGTCCAAGATCGACCGGTCGATTGCGATCGACTGTTTAGCCATCCAATTATTCTATAATATAGAACATACAATTTAAAATTAATTGAGATGCGATATGTGATATTTGATAGGCGATAACGAAATTGGTTATTTTACTAGGATATTTTAGGATACTCGCACTCAATAAAATATTATGTTTTGTATTAACTCCGATTTGGGAAAATGGTTAAAACTTTTTTTTGGATTACCATTTTTACCTTTTCAAGATATCCAAAATGCGTTTGGTGAACTCATATAAATTTGTCCAGATTTAAATATTGGATGTTTGTTTTCTGACTGCATTTTAAATACAAACATGGAGAATGGTTGTTTATTTCCACCAGAAATTTGGGCACAAGAGCCATCCGAAAATCCCCGGTAAATATTCAACTATATAATTGCTATAATAACTATGATTTTGTATTTTTTTTTATTTTTTTTTAAGTACGACAAAATGGATCTGAAAGTTTTCATTGAACTTACAACGCTCAATTTCATAGCTCCCATCCTTCTGTCCATGTAGTTATTTCAATTCTAAAACAAACGCAAGTGGAAACATGTACGAAAATTCAAGTGGTACCAAGTATAACATTTTTTATTATATTATTTTAACATTTAATTATTTTATTTTGTATACTATATTATAACATAGGTATTTATCAAAAATTGAGATTTTAAAGTGGTACCATAACTTAAGTCATTTTTCCAAAATTTAAATKTTACTGATAAAAAATAAAAACATAAATTTGGCAACGTTGCACAGTAAATCGTACGCAATCGTTAGACTTTTAGGGTAAATATTAAAGTTAATGGTTTAACGTACACAATCGTGTTAACGTACGCAATCGTGTGGTAGCCGGGATAAGATACATTTTTTTTTTTGAAAGGTGTTACATAATAATAAAAGGATTAATAACAATAACAATAACAATAAATGTCTAAATTATATGAGTGCATGACATATTATTATGTATATTATAGTAAATAATAATTATTAATTAATATTAATTTTCCATGAAAAACTTTTTTTYAAGAATTTTTTATTTAAAAATTAATAAACATATGCTTATAACTCTTTCTGGTAAGTTGAAAAAGAAACGCATTCAATTTGAAATTTAAATCTAGGATATCAATCTAAAAAAATTGATCTAAATTGATTTCTAAATTTGATATCTAGCTATTACACTTACGCAAAAAATGTATAAAAGCTTTCATGACACAAATYTCACTATTGTAAATTTGTATGTATGACTTATTTTTTAATCTTATTTAAGTTAATATTTGTAAAGAAATTGTTATGTAATTAAAAAATGACACCTAAAAACCTAGATAGTGAACTTTTGCGGATCTCAGGGTCTCAGGGTGCATCTTTTATTTGGTCAATCAAGGTCCCAAGGCAAAAATGTTTGCCAAGTTGAAAACAATTTAATTTAATTTAAAATTAACTATAATGATACAACATTTATGATTTATGTACATACCTAATTATTTCAATACAAAATATTTTTAAGAGTATAGGTATGGAGATTTATTGTTCACAAAATTCCAGGATAATATATTTGAATAAATTCACTTTTGATAGATATCATWAAGTGTTTGATTGCATCAAATTATACAATGCATTGGTACTGCTAATTTCCACTTCATATAACACAACTCAGCCCTATTTTTTATTTTTATTTTATTTGTTATGAAAGTTAAAAAAGTAAATAAAACGGTAAATTTACTATGTATTTTAACCCAATAACATTGGTACTTATAGTTTGATTTTATCATTATAGAATATAGATAACATTGACACATTGTGTAAGATGTTTGAACATAATTTTTGATTACCTTTAAAAAAATTAATGTACCTATAAATATCAGTATTTACCGGTTTCARAACCGAGACCTTATTAGTTCTATAATTTTAAGAACCGGAACCGATTTTTTTTTCGAAGAATCGAAAAAATCATAGAGGTCTCATGCTCTGCTTGGGTTAGGTTAGGTTTTTGCAGCCAAAATCGCTCTTTCTGCCAGCTACTCAAGATTCAAGTATTGTATGTGTATATCGGGAAATATCTGGTCAATAAGTTCATCTTGCGAATTAATGAGCACCATCCAAAACTAAAACAACATCAAGAGTGCATGAGCACCTAAAAACTTTTCAACGCCAGACATTGCGAGCGACAGCTGGACCGTTTCTTTTTTAAAATCGAAATTTAACAGTGTTATTTTTCTTTAATCTGAGTGTTTAATAAAAAACCTWTATTTATCTTATTGCGTCAACTGCATATCAAACACAGCTGCGAATAAGGTAAGGTGCATGCGCATCAATACTCATATACTTATATAATTTTATATATTAAAATATTGTATTTATTAAATTTTTTATAATTTAATAATTAACATTTTATTATTACGGTGTTCACGAATCACGACTTCGAGAACCCTCCGACGATCAGGAGGAAGGCAATAGCGCAATTTTAATATTTATATCTGGTAGCTTATTCTCCAGCTCTTATAAGAGTAGAGAACAATACAGATCCTTTAGTGTAACTCAATAAATCAACCACCATTTTATTTTCTATTTMTAATATCCACTTATCTTTTACTATTTTAATATAACTATTGGCAGGAGCCTTAGTTATATAATAGCTGTATTAGGTATTTTAGCTGTATTATATATTGTTATTATATTTTTATTTTATTTTATTTTTGCGTTATTACAGTATATACTATACATATGTATATATTATATACAATTTTATTAAAAATGTTATTAACTTTAAATATTTTTTGGTAAATCTAAGTGTCTTATACATTCTAAGTTTATACATATATWTCCCAAGCTCGATATCAAAGTTAATCAAATTATCGTTGAACTGCATTTCACTAAGACGACGACTGTCACATCTTCACGATGGYAACAACAAAGTCTACTAAATTAAGACCAAAACTTTTTAAAGATGGTTTTGACTACACAACATTAAGAGAAAATTTAAATGATATACGTTGGAAATGTTCTATCACTATGTGTATTAGAARAGTGTCTAAAAATCATATAGAACCAGTAAGGTATCTACTAGGCAACTTAAGTATACAAATTTTTAATTTTATTTTTTTGACTAATAGTAATATACTATATTTAATTAAGTTTTKRATAAATTGACTTTTTTTATATTTAATTTTTACATTTAAATAATTTACATTATTATATAGGTATACTCAGAGTTGGGCAAAATTTTATCTAGATAATTATTCGAATAAAAAATTATTCGAATGATTTTCATAACTAATTATTCGAATAAAAAATTATTCGAWTAATTTTCATACTAAAAACTAGCGATGAGTACACCAAAAAAAGAAGAAATTTTGTGATGATAAATATCAAAAGACGTTAATAACCTATATTGAGTCTACAAAATGAACAAATTGTATACATGCTGAAATGACAACAGAATAATAAAAATTAACAGACTTATTTCTTAAGCCAGATTCCTATGACTGGTGTACTTGGCTAATATTTGGTACTGGTGGTTACTTGCCATGCCATCGGATCGCCATACTTGTACAATTATTTGTCACTGGTGTCGTTCCCGGCGATTATCGGTTAATGTAATTGGTAATTTTAGAAACTGAGAGAAAATGTTTACTTCAAGCAACATAAAAAACATTCCCATATATTTAAAGTTTAAACACTAGACACCGATATAAACAACAGTATTCATTTTTATTATGTATAATCTTAAAAATTTAAAAATATAATTTTTATTTTGTATATTTTCATTTTTTTATTATTAACTTTAAAATAATAGTTAATATGTTTTGGTTTGTTTTTTGAAAATAATTTCAATAATTCCCGTTCATAGGTGTAACTATAATAGGTAGATATTACATATAATTTTTACCACAATAAAATGGTTTTTAAAAATAATTTATTACTTTCTAAGGAGGCCATCATTTCTATATTATAATACATCTAACAATATATCATATAATACGTATATTAAATGAAATCTTTTTTATTGTGTTTCAAGATTTTGGAAGTATATTTAACATCATACCTATAATATTATTTTTCAAAATAAAAACAGTATAAATAATTAACAAATATGTTATGCAATGTTTTATTACACTATTACAAAATACTACTAATACTACATAGGTAGGTACTTATTTGTTCATAATTCTTAGAAATTAGATATGAATCTTAATGTTATATATATTGATTTGATGTAACTCAACATAAAATTTCATACAACGGTTGTGGAGAATCATATAGTGACGATCCACCTAGAAAAAGTTTTAAATTAATATTATAAAATATAACCTGCATAATTATTTTTCTTAGTCACTCTTAACAATAACACGCAGGTGATTAACAGCGGTTACAACTAAGCCTTTTTTACTTTTATAACACATAGGTAATTTTAAAAATGTTCATAACATATAGATAAGTTTCTATCACTAAACCGTTTGCCTGCAAGGTCGTTTGCCATCAGTGATACAACGCAAACTTCGTCCCAAACAAAAAGGTCATCAGTACCTGCAGAAATGTCAGAACCATCTTACTATAAAAGGTATCTGTAAAGCGATGATTTATATATAACAATRTAACGTTTTGCTTCCAGTAAATCTTGACGTARATAAACTTTGAAATTTTTAGGATATGCCAGGCTTTTATTATTTAGCAATGTCGTTTTTTGCTGTAGGAATTTTTGCCCAGATTTTTTAAAAATATTATTCGTAGTAGATAGATGTTATTGCATATTAATGGATATAACTGATGATTTTAAATAAAATCTTTTGAAGCAACGAATATTGTGAGGTATGGTAATTTGATGCCCACATTCAGTGTCCAAACACAAGTAAATCATCGGATCTGTTTGCAAGTTGATTTCATAGATAATGTGAATTATTTAAGTACCTACATTTTTTGGGTCGTTTCCTTTTAACGTGTTCCTGTTCTATGTAGAGAGTAGGAACTTTGTAAAGTATTCATCTAAATATTTAACTTTATATAATTTTTAAGGAAAATTTATTTTTACAAGGCCCATGATCGTTCATTGTGGAAACGGTACCTACCTAAGTAAATTTCTTCATAAATCAGTAAAGTTTTATTATATTATATATATTTGCTTTTAAAATTTGAAATTAACTTAAAGCTTTTTAAATCAAAAATTTAGGTACACCTAACTTCTAATTTAAAAAAAAAATAAGTTTTTTTTTAGTAACATCACTCGACATAAATTATCATAATTATCATAGAGAGTTGGTGCCGATTTGTTACCATTTAAAGTTATTATTTAAAAAAGTATTTAATTCTATTTAAATATATATAGTKCAATATGGGTGCATACTATATTATACTGAATTTAAATGATTTTTATTATTACCTGTGTAATGAGGTGCTGAGAAAACTGGACAAAATATATCTGGATGCATTGGTAAATCAACATTGGTAGCTAAAAATGAATGAATAAGTAATATTTAGTAAAAAAATAAAATTATTGATTTACTTTCAGATAAAWTATTTAAAAATATAAATAKGTATTATTTCATAGAACTATAAATTGATTTAAATAGTAAGAATATATTATATTATAAATTATAATAAATATGGAATAATTGGATTGTCCGTTAGGTATTTGTTTTACATACAATGTACATACATGTAAACATTACATAATTATGAAAAAAGTTACAATTTCAATTTGAAAATGTATCCGTTTTTCAACAATGATGTGAAATAACGTGACAATTCAACTCGTATGAGAAGTTCATTATCCATATATTAATTTTTATAGTTCATGGGAGAATTATGCAATATTTATTAATTATTGTTACACTGGCATTCGGAACTTGGAACGTGGTTTTCCAGGGCATTAGTGTGATTACAAGATTATTTTTTTCAGTAACTACCAAATTGTTACATAATAAATAACTTAGTATAAAATAATTTTCAAATCAAAATTTAGAACTTGGGGTACCACGGTAACATACCTATAGTACCTACTCACTATTCATACCAGTCATACCCGTACTAATATATGTAGTTTKTCATTAAAAATTTTCTTTATTACTTATTAAATATATTTAAATACAGTAAGGGTGTCTGAATTATTGTAAYGTGCATTACAGGTTTATCTTAAATACAACATAATATATAATATTATATAATCATTGCTTACACGCATGTAATGTAGGGGTCTTCGTATATCTATCTGGTGGCACATGACATAGGTTTTGTGTTGTGATACATGTTTCTGTAAAATATATTAATTAAAACTCTTTAATAATCTAAAGTGTCTTAATAAGGATTCTAGTATAATTAACAAAATAAGAATTTACAAATGTCGTACACTGAAGACAAAAATTGAATAAGGACATAGATCATGTTTAATGAGGTATCGATAAAGATGAGTAACAATAATAGTATAGAAGAAAATGGATGTGTTTTAACTTTGCATGTCTTCAATGTTTAATGAGTAAAATGTTTTCGAATTTATAACAAAAAAATTTTCGTTGGCATTTGTATTAAACTCCATTTATTGAAAAAAAAAAAAAATTGATAGTTTATATCATGACAAATTAGATAAGTGCCATCACGGTTGTACTAGTTTTGCGCAGTATGCACATCTCCTTCACTTCCTGCCTATGTCGTAGTCTTCCACTTCTGATTGGTTGATTTCTTTTTGTGTGCATTTTCCGTGAATTGTATTTTATAATTTATTAGGAATTTAGGTTGTTCAATATAATATTAAATAACAACAATTATTAATTTATACTATATACTATACTGTATTTACATAGGTGTATTATTATAACTAATAAATCAAGAAGTTAATTTTTTTTAAATTTTTACACGGTTTTTTGCCATAGAGAAGTGTTACATATTATCAACTATTCAATCGAATAAACGTTCTTGCACAAACTATACATTAATAAAGTCAGCCAATAAGAAGTGGATAACTACGATATAAGGGAAGTGACGAAATATTTGAGCAGGAGCTACGTATCAAAAAAACGTGATGATGCCTATCTAATTTTTTTTCTCGTGGCATCGAGAACCGGTGGAGTGACTACTATATAATTAGCATTGTTTCCCCTAAACATTACTTCCGCTAAATAGCGTTTTGCTTCCCCTAATACCTATCTAATTTGTCATGGTTTATATTATGTAATATTATACATGACAACGACAAAAACGACGTCTATAGACTTATAAGTTGTGTATGATAAAGCGGTATCTCGCCACAGTGACGCAGTTTGCCACGGTACCTCGGACTTTGTTGGTGATCGGCTGCGGCCACGGGTTTCGAGCTGCCRCGGTGTTCGGTTTTTCCGGTTTGGGTGCCCAATAACACTTGAAGAACACTACGAACATTATGACGAACACCATGGCGATTGCAATCACGGTCATAGAGAATATCCACACGAGCCTCATCACCAGTTCGTCGTACTTCAGAGCCGTCGCCTCAGCCGTTGCGGATCCGCTCTGGGTCGCCACCGTTGGTTTCCGCACGTCAACTGTGGCGCTTTCGATTTTCGTGACGTTCGCCTCGTCCACGGCCGTGGGTTCCCACGTGGCCGTCTGGAGTCGTATGGTAGTACTCAGCATCCGGAATCGCGCCGAGCTCGAACGGCTAACAGCCTCGTCGGTTTTGCGTTCGGATGTGTCGTTGCGGCCGTCGTCGGGTTTGCGTACGGTGCCGTTGCCGCTTCCGTCTCCGACAGAGACTGCAGTTTGCCGAGCGGGCAGTCTACCGGCGCCGCAGAAAATCGACAGTCCGGCAGTGGCCGTCTTGCAGCATCCGGTGCGGTGGTCGCAGTCCGGGCACGACTTGTCGCAGACGTTCGCACAGCTCAAGCCCCAGCGTCCGATGTCACACTCTGAAACACATCATAGATTCCACGAGTATTAAACGTTTTAAGTGTACTTGTATAATGGCGGTTCATCCCAAATAGATGAGCCCGAGTGCGAAAAAAAACTCCCAATTGATCCCTTTTGATTTTAAGTTGTATCATATTATATGGGGAACCTTTACTATAAGGTTTAAGTAATKAACCATACTTCTGTTYTAAATAGTAAAATCTTACTCATATAGTCTGTAAATAACGTTCAGTCGTTGACAAATGTAGATATAAGCTATTATTTATTTTCATATAGAAGTAAAAGCGTCGCAGAATATATTTTGTACATTACTATAAAATACACTTATACTAAATGTATTTAATTTACGTGTATGACTGTGTAGTATTACAATATTTACAATTATTTATTCATTTTTTTAAAACGTTGGCTAATAAAGCCCCTCCCCTACCGCCACTATCTAAGGGCCTGTGGCTTTTGTATTTTTCACACATTGTACACAACGTATACGACATGCTATACTTGCAGTTTGTACCTATAGGCACATACAATTAACTAATAATGTTTGTGTTCAATACAGCGAACACGTTTAAGATGAAATCACATTATAATAATAATTAAGATAGTAATTTGTGTACTTAATAATACGTACTTTGTTAATAACTATATTAATTATGATATTTATAAATGTTATTGATTTCAACTTATTGATAGCGTACAATTTATTATAAAGTAAAATTAAATGATTTTTCAAAATTTCAATTAAATTGCACAAAATACAAAACATGGCATTGATAGTAATTCAGCTGTTCCTCAACTTTTTTTCCGTGGTGTCCTTTTTTAGACCTAATGTAATCACGGTGCCCTACTATGAATACCAGAATACCATGAACGACGGAATAAAACAATACTCATTGATAAGTAATAACGAATTAATTTTGAAAAAAAATTCTATACATTTTAAATTATTTATTATGAGCTGAAGACCGCGGTGGCTTTTTTTAAACTAACTCGTGGAGCACAGTTTGGGAACCGTGGTAGTAATTGAAAAAAAATAATATTATCTATATCAATATATTATTTTAAGAGTAGATTATATATATATAATATGATTATCATCATAACATACTTATTACTCATCATAAACACATAATTTATTTAGACTTAAAATAATTTGAATATTTAAATACATTTGTAAAATAGATAAGTACCAACCATACTATTATGAAGTATAGATAGGTATATTATTGTCTTAAGAAAAGAGTGTGACACTCATAATATCAATAATATAGGTATATATACCTATACCTAACCTATAATATTATACTACATATTAATATTATTATATATAGTTACCTTTTTAAAATTATTATTTATATGTATAAGAAAGAAATTTTTTTTTTAAATTTTATACAAAACAATTATAAGCCAAATTCTTATATTAAAAAAAAAAAAAACTATTGGTTCTTGTATAATATCACTAGAAATTACCAATATTAAAATAAATAGGTACTAACTTTGTCTACATAAATGACCTACGTATCCGGACTTGCATTTGCATCTATCAGTACCTGATGCACATTGAATATTTGGACACTGTTCCTCGGAACATTTTGGTACACAATTATCGTATAACTGGATTTGATCCTTGCAACATCTCTTTACCTTACGCATTTTAGGCACTGTCTAAAAAAAAAAAAAATTAAACTTAATACGGAAAAATAATACAAAAACGTCGTTTATCGGTCACTAACAACGTTCCTGTGTACAGTCCTGAACTCTCTTCTGTTGTCTGGACATCTCGGTGGTATGTCTAAGCACCATTTATACTTTGTAACTTGCACCGGTTCTTTGATGCTTACTGTGATAATCTCATCGTAACTTTAAACACATAATATTAATATATTATCCATAACTGGATTCCACGTCGTTAATATCGTATATTATTTACAGAGTAGCTCAAACTTCCTTTGTCAGGGCTAACAGTGGGTTGGTGTTTTTTGAAAACACATACCCACCAACTAGTTCTTATACTTTTTAAATATGGTCAAAACATGTTCTTGCCTTAATCACTTTGTTATAATAAATATAATAAGACACAGCTAGGTCACCACAACTATACCAAAAGTTGTAGCTGTCATCCTCGTACCACTTGAGAAGAGCGACTGTTTTTTCAAAAATGTACCAACCTTTCAGTGAAATCACAGTCAATGTTGTAGCACAGGTATGGCCTCAACGGGATCGTTGCCCACAGGATCGCAAACAGAACGGCGGCATTCGAATACGACGTCGTTCGATGCATTTTTAAAATAATTCGTAAATACCTTGATGCAACTGTCCGTCGGCCACCGGATACTTATACTCACCACACTTATACTCAAGTATGTCATATATATTATATATATATATATATAGGTGCAGTATACTCGCAAATGATCGTAGTCAGAGTTCGCGTGGTGTCGAGACGTGAATAGGTAGATGATTAAACGAAAAAAAAATAAGGACCATGTACATATGTTATTGAATTAGTACACGTTTATATAAATCGATGGAGCGCCGGGAGACTACCGGTAGTCGCTAATATTACATTAATATAATAACACGCACGACAACGACTAACAACGTATATTGTGGTTGTTGGTAGTAGCTAGAGAGTGAATTCGGTTTGCTCTGAAAGGGTCAATTAAGTGATCTCGTCCGAAGAAGGGGGAATGTTAAACGGTGTATTTAATCTATACGAGTTAGTACGTTATATGACACAAATTGAAATCGTCTTTTACACAAYAAATAGTATTCACAGTATGAAAAAAATAATATACCTAAATGGTATCTGAAGTTAGGTAATAACATTGGTACATATAATATTTACCTATTTTTATTTAATGTAGATTTTAAAATTTGTACCTACTTAGGGTTTAGATGCATTTTTACATATTGCTAGGCGTAAGTATAGGTATCTAGTATACATATTAAATAAAACTGTTATTTAAAGTACCTATATAATTAATGTATCACAATATATCACTTTTGGACATACCTACTGAAGAACGGTTACAACACTAATGAACATAAAACACGTTTCTTACGATATGATTGAGCAAATATTTTGTCAGCATATCAGAGGATTGCAATATAAAAGAAAACCTACAGTATTGAGCATAAACAACTCTACGATATTGGCATTTTCAATTTTGAATTATATAATATAAAAAATGTAATCATTAATAATTCAAAATATGGTACCAGGTAATAGTCTCGTATTATAGTTATATTATTTGATAGACATTTCTCGGACACTTCCCCCTCCCACTACTGTTTTCGGTATAATTGGACATCTTCCACCGATACATTTATTAAGGGTACATTTTCCACTCATGCTATTTTTAAAACTTAATAATAGGTATATAAGTTAATATTAGGTATTTATTATTTCATATGAAATTATTATTTTGTTTTTTAAAGACAGAAATCCAAAATTTTTCATTAACTGTTAGGTATTTATATTTTGTTTAGAAAATCTTATAGCTAGGTATTGCGTACATTTATTTAAAATTATGTTTTTTGGATATTATTATTTATAATATCAATTGTAGATATTTTTTAATACAACACTTCAAATACTCGTTTTAAACATAACTTATAATTATTTTATTATTTTAATACCAAATTATATTGTTTCTAAAACAGTGATCAGAAATATATACATCCTTAATTTATTATATTTATAAAAATATTTGGACATTTATTTTGTATTGAGCCAAAATTAGACAATAGACAAAAAAAAAATTGTATTAATGATCTGTATATTACGGATAAAACTAATGTTTATTGCTCCGGAACTAATTTATTATTAGTCGATAACATTATCGATAAGGTTAGCTTGGTTCACTGTTCGAGGCTCGTTTAAGTTCAGTATCATAATAATAAAATTGGTGTAATTATAATACATGAAAATAATGAATTACGAAATTTCGGCGATGTGATTTTACACTGTTCAATGCTCAATCGTGTTGCTGAAAAGGTATGTTTACGGTAAAACTCAATCGTTTTATGATAAATATAATCATACTTTACCAACCGATGACAAATTCACATTTTCAGTAAATTATAATTTGGCTTACTTAAATCGAAATGAGATTTAACCTGCAGGAAATAATGTTCAACGTGCCACATGATAATTAACAAACGTAACTCTGTGAAAACAGATAGAAACTATTTAAGTACGAGAACACAAAATTATTTAATAATTTTAATTAAGTACATAATATATAAAACATTAAAAATATTTGGAACGACTTTAAAAATTATTTTGTAATTATTTTTGAGAAAATTATATACATAAACTATAAACTTTAACTTTACGATTGTAACAGTTTAGATATAAACTAGGTATATCATAATGCATGTATGTCACATAGATTGCGTTCAAGTAATGTGTTTTGTGCACATACCAGTCATGAATATTATTGAAAATATTATATGGATCATATAAATATAGCTTCATAAAATCTTAGGTATTAAGAAAATGTTATATGGTTATTAGATTTTTCAGTAAAATATTTAAATCAATCCTTTATTAGTGCCTTCCTCTTTTGACTAGTTTTTAAAAACAAATCGTCAAAGATATATTTAAATATATTTTTATATTTCATCAATAGTTAATTTACTGAATAGTCATAAATCAAATATCAAAATATTTAATTAATTACTACCTAATTAGAAAAGGAGCTGGATGAACTTTTATTTGGTCAATATTTATGTGTGTTATATGATACATAATAACTATAGTTTATTTAAAAAATAATCCAACAAAATATTGTAAATTTTGCATAGGATTAAAAATGAAAAATGTAATTAATACATTTTGGTAAATGGACGGTTGATTTAATACATCAAGAATAATAAATAATTGGTTATATTGGCATTTAAAAACATTTAATTTATTCTTTACATTAAAAAAAAAAATATTTTCATCTAATATAATATTAATTATTGTGAATTTATGATCGAATTTCTGGTCTATGACATAGGATTATTTTTCACATGACCCAACAACAAACTATTATTATTATTTTAATTGTTACAAAGTTATTTTGATTTTTAACATGTATTTTTTTTTTCAATAACAATTGTGAAATCTAAATACGCAACTTATTATGATGTTTTCATCCATTATTTATGTTACAAATACTTCTATACTTCTTCCATATTATTTTATAATATTTTAATATGGATTCAAGACTTATGCTTGATTTTAAATGTATTAAAATACATTCATGCATTTAAAAATATAAGAATATGACAAAAAATATAATCCAAGGGCTAGGATTATATTTTAAATTACAAACATTTCGCACTTAAAGTGATTTGTGACTTACTGAGTTATCATACCTTTAGTTAATACATCTAAAAAGATACAACCTTGCAAAAATGTTACGAATGAATCCTCTGAACCACCCGAAGTTCAATAAGTTATAATAGTACCTAGAATAAAAAAAAAGTTCACACCCACGGTGGATCACTCATAAAATCGTTATAATATTAACAAGCCATCAACTCGTCCCTCGTTCTAGCCATCACCACGGCCAAAACAGAGGCTTAGATCCTGTTTGTATTTTTATGAAAATAAATAATTGTCTTATAATGATATTATTATATTTTGATAATGGTTGTGATTTTTGTTACTTGTTATTATTGAAATCAAAAATTGAGAGTAGGTAAATTCACTGCAGTAATTGCTTATAAGCGTTTGAAGTTCAATATTTTTTATTAAATTTTGTTTTCCCGCATACTATATATATATATATATTATTTTATATACACAGATATATTATTTCTTTAAAAATATTTGTTCTCATAGTTGAGGTGAAACGGTTAATTCGATTTTTGATTATTTTCGATAGTAGCTAGGTAATATTAATATTAATTATTTTTCTCAATCATATTTATGCTTTATGGCTTTTATATTTTATGTGTCAACATTTTCAGTATGTACTTTAATAATAATACATTGAATCGTAGTATATTTCTATATATTTACAATAATGCTTGTTTTAAACTGGTTAGGAATTTGCTTAACTATCATGCTTTACAAAAATACAGCTATAGTTAAAAAATAAATATAACACTCATATATTTATTTTAATTGTATATAAACAGGATGCAGATGATAATTTTATCATACAATGTACCTAGCTATATATTAAATGTGTAGATATTAATCAACTTCCGGTGAAATCTTTTTGGCAAAATATATATTTTAAAATTTTATGCAATAATCAGTTTATTTCTAATATTGTGTATTTCATTCCTTCACTTCAATTTTCACTATAGGTAGGTATATAACTTTACGAAAATTCGYACAATTCCGATTTATATTCCAAAATATATATATATATAAATATAAATTTAAATTTATTGTAAAATGTCAGAATTTCAAATTTATTCAACTGAATGGAATCTTAAATTACAAAAAGAACTTAATGAGCCATCAGATCCACAGTTAGCAATTGATGAATTACGTACATTAATTAAAGGTAAACTTTAATAATTATATATCATTGGCCATTGCTAATATATACATATATATATATATATATACATATTATATATTATGTAAGGCAATACCCAAATGGAGGTGTTGTTTTTTAGTAATACATTTATTCAAATTCCGATTTTTGAAATTTTTAAATACAAGTACAAAGTTCACATTTCCAAATTATTGATATTTTTATGTTAAAGAGTGTCCTATGGTGAAAAATATTTTTTTTTTTTTAAATGATAACTTCTGTTTTGGTTGTAATTTATTTAAAGTTCAATTTTAATTTTAATTTTTGATGTAATAAATTTTAAATTTTAAAAATAGGTGGTTTTTCAGTTATTAATATGTATTTACTAAAAGTAATAGTTCTTAAAATGGTTTCACATAATATAAAATAAAATATGCAATTTTGAATCTAGTGTTGATTGTATTGTGGTCATTTTCACAAGTTATTCATTTTGATAAATTAATATTAATCACTAAAATTTTCAAATCACCATCGCTCCTATATCTTACAACCTCCCGAACACAATATACCTATTATTTTTAGTAGTTAGTAAACAAACTTAAATAAGTCACATAAATAATAATTTATGTTGTTAATAATTGTTCTGTAATATTTTTTATTTTTAATAATAAATTGAAGATAATGATGAATTATAGTAATACCTAAAATATTTCATAAATATATTCTTGTTATAGGTAATACGTGAATAACAATATACCTAATTACCAATTATATTTTTACTTATTTTTTAAAAGTAATTATATAAAATTGTTGAGTTTTCAATGGTGTTTACGTACCATTGTTATATTCCGTTTTTAAAAGGTTTTTTTTCTTACTTATTTGAATKTCCAGTTTTGTTTACTGTTTATTATTTGCCAAGGCAAATCATTTTCGATAATTCTGAAACATTTAAAATCAGGTAGATCACACTACATCTATTTTATTGGTTAGGTTGTTTATTTATTTATTCATTTATTTATTTAACGTCCATCTTAAATGCGTATCAGACGCAATCTAAACATCGGATCTATAGTTGAGCTTTAGTTGGAAAGGGTACGACCGATGCTATACAACAGTGTTTCCAAATTTTTAAAAATGTATTTATTTTTTGATCTAGAAGTATGGAGACCTTACTTTTGGGACACGTCTCGTACTATTCATTAATGATTAAAATAAGTTAATTGTAATATTGATTATACTGTGTATCAGAACTAAGATATAACTCTTTGAATAGACTATGGATAATATCAACTTACATATTATTTAATATGGCTACGCAATTTGAACATGAAAATAAAATTAGTTTCAGATACTAACTAACAAACTTAGGTACCTTTATATCTACTTTGTAGTCTAGTATATAGTTTGGTGTCTACTATGGTATTTATGTATATTATCTACCTATGTAATTCTTATAAAAAATTCTAGGTTAGGTTAGGTATCTTCTTGAAATTGAATTACATATTATTATTTATTATCAATAAAAATAGTTGTAACATAATTGTAAATGTGTATATTGTACATGCGCAGAATAATACATTAGTTACGTAGGTAGGTACTTAAAAATATATTATTATTGCAAACATAGCTTGTTTAATTATTTAGGTGAAATTTTTTTGAAATCAAGAATGGATGATACATTTATGCTAAAATTCTTAAGAGCAAGAAAATTTCAAGTTAATAAAGCATTTAAATTGGTAAGTCATAACATTTTAAAATTCATAATTCATGAACAAAATATTATTATTTATTGATATAATAACATTAAATTGCAGTGGTCGAATAATTAAATATTATGTTGTTTGTTAATGTTAATGATTTTAATGATACATCGGTAGGTAGGTATTAAATGTTGGTTTTATTATACAGTGAAAATTGTCTGGGGTGGAATTGTGCGGGATCGACCAAATATTTAGTGTTAAGCAGAATTCGAGCTTATTCAATTTGATTCCAAATATTGTATGTGTACCTATTATTCAATATTATTCATATTACTTATTCGTATTACACAATAAAAATTCTGGTAGTTCTCATGCTTCACACGCTCCCCCAATCTATCTTTTAGGCTATGACACTGATGTATGTTGTTTTATTTTATTTGTTATATAGGTACGCTATTTATATTTCCGAATAATAAGAGATTTTTATATGCACGGTAGAAACATACAAAATTGTTTCGTTTTATTGAGGTTCAACGTACATAAGAAACTAAATAGGAACACACCAGGACCAAAGAAGAATTCCAGGATTGATAGCTTTCCGTTTTATTCAGGGTCCGCCTTAGACAATTTTCATTGTATTCCCTATTAATTAAATATGTAAAAGTTGGATTTTGATAATAATATGTGATGTTTTTTGAAATTAATTTTATTATAATTTCTACACACCTTTATGTTATTTAAACATAAATAGGTAGTTACTGTATGATAAAAATTCTGATTTTAAACTAAATTATTTTAAATTACAATATCCAATTATTTTGTTTTTTCTAAAAAATAAAAATTTAAATAAATAAATTGCTGTTTCTATAAAATATTTTATTTATTTTTATAATAAATAATAGATACAAAATTATTATGAAGCTAAGGAAAAGAACCCAAAATTATTCAACTTAATTTTTCCATCAAAGAACAAAGTGTTTTTGGAAAGCGGAGCAGTTTTTATGTTACCMCATAGAGATCAGCACGGACGTGAAATATATGTTTTTAGAATGGGTTGGTATATTTTATAATATTGATAAGTGAAGTTTATTTTTAAAACAAACTGCATTATTAAAGCAAGTAAGTTATAGGTTTGATCCGKGAAATYACCGTGTGACATTTGCACCCATTATATTATATTTTAATAATTAAAAACAATTTTTCATAAGTAGCTTTTTTTTWGAAATTTTACGTWACTTATTTWTATGACTACCCAAATTACCAATTAGATTCACTTTCTTATCACAAAATATGTGGAAATAGACAGGGCCGGCTTTAGACACGATCGACGTGTGCGACGGCACAGGGGCGCCAAAATCAAGGGGGCGTGCGGTTGCCTATTTATATATTTAAAAACAGGGCGAAAGGCGCCGAAATAATACTTACACTGGGCGCTGAAAAAACTAGAGCCGGCCCTGGAAATAGAAAATCGAAGCATTTTTAGTATCTCAATATAAGTTATGACAGTTCAAAACATTTTTTTTTAAATTTAATAATTTAATATTGTAAAAACTATATATTCTCATCGCTTCACTTTGAATACAAAATATTGAATACATTTCGTAAAAATATTAACAAACAACGAAAAGCTCTGTTAAATATTATTAAATTATTTGCAATTCAAGTACATCAGCCCAGAGTTTTAATATGATGATCAGCCCATCGATAATTTTCGAGGTATCTTGATGGCCGTTGAGCCTATCTACTGCTGGTCTTAACGGAATAAATTAGCCAATAGGTAATACCTATAGTTAAAAAACAAGTTCTTATAAGTATTATTACTTAGTGACACCCGTTATACTAAAAAAACCCKATTTTCCGTTTTTCACATTTCTCTATCCCCCTTCATCCCTCTTAGAMATTTTTATAAAAATATGCATTTGGGAGGGGGTGGTGATGAAATGTACTTTTAAATTTAACAAAACAAACCAAGACATAGGTAATGTCAATAAATAACTGTGTAAAGAACAACACCTACTTAACGATATCAGACATGTGTTACCTATATATTATTATTATAATATTAATATATTATATTATAGAGTAACATATGATATCAGTAGCACAACTAAAATATTTGAAAGAGGGGTGGGGATGTTAACTTTAAATATTACTCATACAAACTATAACTTTGATTTTAATTAACAAAAATATTTTTACGATTATAAATATATTGGTTTCGATCAATAAATCATGACAATACGTATATAGTATAATTAAATTCATGTAATAATTTAATAATATGATACCTACTGCTCAATGAAGGCATTAAATTGTCATATACTCCAAAACCCCRAATCTTATAGATATCGACGCCACTGTATAATATTTGAACTAAAAAATATGATTATATAATTGAATACATTTTTAAATTTATTTGTTTTAATTCAATAAATATGAATATTTTTGTAGTTTTGTGGCATATTTTGTACATTTTTAATGTATATAATTCTGAGCTTGTTGATAATTTTATATTATTTAGGTGCACACAACATCACTACATATTATTAAACGAATGCCACTTATAATAAAAAACAGTTTTTTTTGTTTAGAAAAGGTTTTATCTGAGATGACCATAGAAGATGTTTTTAAGATAAACTTGATGATTTTGGAAGTTGTTTCTGAACACCCAGAAACTCAGCTTGCTGGTATGATTGTAATTGCTGATTTTACAGGATTCAAGTGGCTGAAACATTATCAATATTTATCACCTTACTATGCTAAAAAGTCTGCTGAAGTTGTGCAAGTAAGAAACACATATTTTCCGTATAATAATGTTTTAAGAAAACAGCTARAAAAACAAATTAATCAGGCACAGTTCATGTTCCAAAAATTTTACGTACCTATTATAAAATTGACACAATTTATGTGATAATGTATATATATTTAAAACCTGTAGGTATTAAAGATATTTGTATTATTATTATTTGAATTTTTCTAATCATATAGCTCTTTTGCGTTTWAAGTGTTTAAATCTAAATGACTAATTATAAGGTTTAAAATTAATACTTGGCAAGATACATTTCTAGTGGCTCATTACTCAGGTAAATTCTGTACTAACATGTACAATATAATTGTTAAAATAGGTACTTATTTATAATTGCTTATACCTATAAGTATATAAACTTGATAAAGTATATTTATAGTAATGATAATAATTGTATTATTCAGATCAAATTCATTAATAACATAATGTATTCATACTTTAAGGAGTGTTTCCCATTGAGATTTCAAGGCTTTCATTTTATCAATGAACCATTATACTTGTACTCTGTATATTCAATCATAAAACCATTTTTGAAAGAAAAATTACGTTGTCGGGTTAGTTATTTCCCGCGTTGAAATATTTTAGGTGTAACATTAAAAATTTTTTTAAAGGTACATTTTCACGGGAGTAATTTAAATTCTCTTCACAAGTATGTTGCTCCTAATATCTTGCCAACATATTTTAATGGTAAACTGGAGTTTGATCCTTTAACTTGGGTACAACAACTCTTGAGTAAAGAACAGTATCTTAAAGGTAAAATAYAACTAGTATCTATTTAATATAATTTATTAAACTTTCACAACTTTTTGAAATGTACAAATTATTAAATACAATACATTATTGATTATTGTTGGTTGTTTAGACTTATTGAATTTTTTATTAATTTTAGAACAAGGACAGTATGGATACAACAGATGATGATAAAATTTTCAAAAATATATGTACCCAGTTATAAAATATAGTAAAGTTAAAAGTGTTGGTCAATAATTTTGATAATTCGATACGATATCGATATTGGTTTATATATTGAAATTAATATTTTATTAGAAGGTTCTAGGTAATAAAAATGATAAATTGTATTGTATTGTGTAATAAATAAAAATTTCTATCGATCGACAATGTTGCGTGTTCCGGGGAAATATTGATTAGTAATAATTTATTAGATCTGTTGACTGTTATAAGTAATAACTTATAAATTGTGATAAACAATGGTATCGTTAATTTGATATGTTATTGATATYGAGACTAATTTTTGATATCGATACACAATRTCATATAGATGCCCATCACGATCACTATAAAATAACTATATTTAATATCACTCATGCCTCGTACACCGTTCACTACACACGTGTTTGTACATCACTCCGCATAAATTCGTGTTACTTTAACCAAAATGAAAAAAAWTCATTTTACACCATTGAATGCGTAATAAAAATCTCTACATTTAAGTGTTTTTAAACATATCGAAAAATCTAAACTTTGTCACTAATTTCAAAAATCTTAACATTTATAATTATCTTACTCGCACTACCATTCCGGCTATCGGACAGCTGGTGGTCATTAGTCTACACTGTTATTGCGTTTTCACAGTGTCTTACTTTCATAACACACAATGGCTCCAAACCCATTTATCAATAAAACAAATCAAAGTAAATCAAAAAAAAAAAAATTACTTAGTCTATCTACATCTCAAAATAGTCCTACTAAAAGTTGTATACAGAGTGCCTCACGCGACGTATTTGATTCATCAATTGAAATGGGATGGAATCCATGTATCATTACATACGCTGAATACATCCCAACGTAACCACTCATCTACCGATAACCCAGAACCTAAAAAAAAATAAATAAATTTTTATAACAGTTAATAGATATTCACCGTTCACCACAGAGGACGAAAATAACGAAAATACTTTACAATACTTTCAAGAAAACATAACAGAAATCACTAATGATTCTCCTAATGCTAAAACCACCAAACTTCCACCACCAGTATTTGTCCGAGGTGTACCTACTAAACTTTGTAAAACTTCGCAACTAATTAATTAAGCTAATTGGTTCCAAAAATKTCTCCTTCAAATCGTCAACAAGCGATCTAAAAATACAAACTACCAAACAGAAGTCATAYCATAAATTACCATTATTTAAAATATAAAAGCACAGTATCACACATACTAACCCCAAGAGGATAAAGCCTTCCGGATAGTTATCCGTAACCTACATCCATCGACACTACCAGACGAAATAGGAATGGCTATTGAAGAAATAGGCTTTTTAGTCCGAAAGGTCACTAACGTACYCAAAAAAATAATAAAAGACRAATTGCCAATGTTTTTTGTTGATCTAGAACCAGTCCCAATCAATAAAGATATATTCAGTGTAACATCCCTACTCCCAAAGTAAAAAAAGAAGAGCCACACAAACGAAGGGACATCATTGAATGTCAAAATTGTCAAGACTACGGCCACTCAAAAAAATACTTCTCATATCAGCTTAGATGTGTCCATTGTGGTGAAAATCATCTGACCAGCATTTGTACCAAATCATACGAGACTCCAGCCAAATGTGTCCTGTGCCAATGCGATCACCCAGCGAACTATAAAAGATGCCAAGTTTACAAGCAGTTCCAATGTTCTCGCAAACCAACCACAAATAATCTCAAACCCAACCTCACTAACTCAAATTCAACTGACGCAAAGAATGTAAGTATTAATAATAATGAATGTAAAAACTACCCAACAGCAATCAATGCAACCAAACTCTTCTCCATACCCTACTCGCTCTTATGCGCAGGTCACATCTGACCAAAATCCTAATGTATCTAATTACAATGAAAACGCGAATCTCTAAAACTTCATAAATGAATTCAAAGCACCAATAAATCCCTTGCTATCTCTTCTCATTATGGTTAGGTTAGGTTAGGTCGCCTACTCGCTTAAAATTCTAAATAACTTTCTCRCCAATTCATCTTTAGTTTTTCTACAATGGATTACAAAACCGCAAAAACGAACTAATTATTACTCTAAAATTTAGAGTCTAAATGATAAAAGAATTGACTTCGTCCTAATTTCTGAAACCCATTTCACTCCCAACACAAAATTTAAAATTCCAGACTATAACTTAATTTCCTCAAACCACCCTGATAATACTGCCCACGCTGGCACCGCGATTCTTGTCAAATCAACTCTAAAATTTACCCCTCTTCCTATAATAAATAATGATTTCCTMCAAGCAGCACTAATAAATACAATAAAACCTCTGAATAGCGGACACTAACGGAACCGACCAAATTGTCCGCTATTAAGAGGTGTCCGCTATTGGGAAAAATTGATAAAATAATATGTATGTATTTATTGTATTATATGTAACCATTCTTTCATTAATTCTTGTGTCATCCAAGCTTTACGATTAGCTTTCCACGTTACTCCAAGATCGTTGACGATAATGTTCTTAAAACACCGGGGTTTTAACGCCTTTCCAATCACCAAAGGTGTTTCAAAATCACCTTCCATATTAACACACAACATGACTGTAATTCGTTCTTTACTTATTTTTCCACCACTGYAGTTCTTACCTTTGAGACACATTGTTTAATTGGGTAAAGCACGAAAAAATAAACCAGTTTCATCTAAATTAAAAATATTTTTCGGAACAAATCCTTCACACGTTTCGACTAATTTATTATTCCAGTCGTCCACAATATCATGGTCAACGGAACTGCTTTCTCCAYATATAGCTTTATAAGCAATGTTGTGACGTTTGCGAAATTTTTCGAGCCATCCATTAGACGCTTTAAAATTAATTCTACCCAAAGTTTAAGCRATTTCTATAGCTTTTTCCTGTATGGAAAGACCAGAGATGGGCAAATTTTTAGCACGGACGTGGCAGAACCATTCATAACACACAATATGGTCTATTTCAAAGCCCTTATCTTCAATAAAATTCTTTTTTGTCTCTCCATTCACGTTTTCATCACACTATTTACGCAGTAGATCTACCCGGAACTTGAGTATGGTTCCTATTTGAGTTTTACCAACTTCAAATTGAGTCGCTAATTCACGAACACTTTGTTTTTTTGCATCATAACATTTTATTATGTCGATTTTATTTTTCAACGTCAAACGCGACCGTACCGGAGCCATGGTAAATACGATACTAACGGACAATRCTATTAATATCAGTACCTAAGCCATAACATCACTATCGTTCGTATAGGTTCTTATTTAATTTTGTAATTTTTCATAACTTATCGTATTCATTAAGATTTGGATAAATGTCATTATCGGTAAAATAGAAATACACTTATTGTATTGTATACCTACACAATAAGTTCGTATTTCTTGGACAGCTGTCCATTATTTAGATATATTTAAACACTTCRGACTACCTAAACCTGTCGGCGTCCATTTTCAGAGGTGTCCGCTATTTAGAGGAGCATTATCTATTATTTTCAACGGGACTATGCCGGGACTGGAAATTTTGTCCGTTATTGAGACGTGTCCGCTAATTAGAGGTGTCCTTTAAGAGAGGTTCCACTGTATTAACTTCAATCATGTACTAATCAYAATCTCAGCAACCTACTGTCCCCCAAAACAAAAAATCACACCACCACAATATTAAATATTCTTTAATTCTCTCGGTCACTACTTTATCGTTGGGTTGACTAAACGCCAAAAATCAAATTTGGGGCTGCCATTCCACAAACTTTAAAGGACACGACTTACTCCAAACCATTGATTTGAACCATTACTCTATAATTACACCTTCCAATCCAACTTACTGGCCAACGTACCCTAGAAAACGTCCAGACATCTTAAATATATTTGTAATAAAAATTCCAAATAATATCAATCACCAAATTCAAAACTTACTGGACCCATGTTCTGATCACTTTCCAGTTCTTCTGTCTATCGATGTATTATTTTCATATCAAAATACTTAACCCACTCTAATTAATTACCCAATGAACTGGGACAAATTTCGTAAAACAATCGAACACACACACAAAATAGAGAATTCATGAATTTCTCTTTTACCATTATATCTTGCTCAAAAACCTTTTTCTCCAGGTGAAATTCATCACTTGATAAAATCTTTCCCACTTAAAAAAGCACCTGGCATAGTTTTAATAATAGCAGAAGTAACTTGAGAACTTTCAAAAAAAGATTAACTCACATATTAAACTCCATACTAAGACTCCTTCTTTCCACTATGGAAAGTATCAGTTATAATTTTGATTCCATAACCAGGTAAGCCTCCAGACATTGCATCAACCTATCGTTCAATTAGCCTTTTGCCTTTCTTTGAAAAATTAACTGAAAAATTAATACTTAAACATATTTCAAAAATTATAAATGACAAAAAAAATAATTACTAACACGCAATTTGGCTTCCATAAAARACATTCAACTTTACACCAAGTACACCAAGTCATATTGGAATCTTCGGAAACAAATTGGCTGATGCATACGCTATACGAGCAATATCTTCCTCTAACTATTGTTATATTTCTATGAGCTTATTTCAAGACATAAAACAGTCCATCCACACGCATATTCTGAATCAATTGCACCAATCGTGGTCAACATTTCACACCAAACTTAATGAAATAAAATCAACCATTCCCATCCCCATGTCCAACCTTCACAATATCCAGACGACACACATGGCTGACCCACAAACACCTTATGACCAKAACGGAACCAGACCAATGTGGTCTATATGTGGAGAAATACTTTCAGTCAATCACATAATTTGCTTCTGCCGAATCTATATAGATATCCAATCTCCAAATTTATAACCTCCATGAAGCATAAATTCAAAAAACATGTTAACCCTTTTTTTAAGCCATTGACCTTTTTTGTTGTGGATTATCTAAATTTAAAAAAAAACCTTCATTTTGAATGCTGTGATGA